TCTCGCCCTTTTTTGACTTTAACGGAGGCTGTGCGGGGCTCCATGTGAGTTTGCGAGCGGGTGGGGCTTCGGGCTTGAGGAAGACTTAAATCAACGAAGCCATCTCTCATGCAAACTGTATCAGCGGAATGAGCAGCGAAACAGAGAACCTCCGACCCATGTGGCGGCTTTGGCCACGTTTCTTGAAAACCCTGTGTTAAAACGCGGCCCTGTGCCCCCGGGCAGCCCCTGTGCTGGATGCTCGGCAGGTAAATCCCTGCCAAAAGAAGGAACTCCTACACAGGGAGGCATCAGACATCTTGAGGCCCTATGCTTGAGAAACAAAATACTCTGGAACCAATCCCAACATGACATTTACTCTCAACAGCCCTAAACCTTAAACCCTAAACTCTAGCAACCCCAAGCCCTTCCCTCAATAAGCACATCCCTAAAACCCAAGCAGGCTCCGAGAGGAAGGGTTGCAGCCCTCAGGCACTTCAGTCAGGATCCCAGCCCTTTCCTCAGACGTTGGGGTTTGGATGGGCTTGGGCTATGGGATTTGGGTTTCAGTAGCTGGAGCATTAGCTGATTTTAGGGTTTAATGTTTTGGAGTTTTGTGGGTGATGCCGCGGGACTAAGTAAGCAAGAGAGAAAGATGGCCCCCACTTAAAAAGGAATCGGGCTCAAGTGCTTATGGAACGGCACAAGTCATAGCAGGGAGCCAGCCAACCCCGGATCCTGCCAAACCTTTGACCCCCCCCCCTCCCCCCAAAAGAAAACCTAAACCCTAAACTCAAGAACAGCCCTTATCAAGGATGGTTTCCTGGGGTTTAGGGTTTAGGATTTAGGGCTTAGGCTAGATTGCTCATCTTCTTGAGGGACTTCCTCCACAAAATGGCAGTGAAGAAGAGGAAAAAATTGGAAATACATGCCAAATTCAATCCCTCAGTCCCAAACTCTGTGCTCTAAATCCTAAACACTTGCCCTGTAACCCTCAGCCTCCTGGTTTCCATGTCACTGGATTTTCCATTCTTAGCATAATACATTGAACTGGTCGGGTCCCTAGGGTACCCTACACCCTAAATCCCGTAACCCTTACACCCTAAATCCCCTAAACCCTATAACTACATTGGGCTATTTGGATCCCTAGCCCCCAAATTCTGGCCAGCGGCATGACCTCAGCACTGAAGCGTTGCCCCAGCTGTTCCAGCCTCATATCAGCCACAGTCTAAACTTCTTAAAGGGGGTTGCATCTACGAGGTTTAGGGTCTAGGGTTTAGCCGTCTACACTCCTTTAAGGGGGTTATATCGGGGATTATATAACCCCTTATAGGGTTTAGGGTCTAGGGTTTAGGGGTCTCAACTCCTTCAAGGGGGTTATATAGGGGATTATGTAGGGGAGCGTTGTAGAGGTTAGTAAGGGGGATGCTAGGAGTGTAGACTAGAGCCCATCTGAGCATATCGCAAAAAGCAGTCGCTAAGTCCAAGGGGTCAAGCGATTGAATGGCACTGCCGTTCTTACTGCTTCCTAGTAGGGAATAAGGGAATATTTCCTATTGGGGTTATGTAGAGATTAGCTTGCCTTTTCCCCTACTAAGTACTAAGAACCAGTTGGTCTTATTGAGGATCCCATGGATAGTCTTGAGAAACTTCCTCATCCCTGATTCAGGGACGATGTTGACGATGAGGCACATTGCTGTCTGTACATGTTCTGACGTCCTGAGTTAAAGCACATCACAAGTGCGAGTCATGCTATGGAAGTTCCTCCGAGTTAGCTCGATTTTCTCCTGAAACGGGACGGCCACAATGAGATTCTCGTCCGTGTGTATCTCTGGCAACCCTGAAAGCGTGCTTTTTGAGAACTTGACATAAATCCCTACACCCCAAACCCTAAATTAAAAAAGGAACCCTAGCATCCAGATCTCTTTCCGATTGTCCCTAAACCCTAAATCCTAAATGGTAGTAGTTTCCCAAAATATGGGGATCCCAATATAGAGCCCTGAATACTATAACCCTTATTATGGGGACCCCCAAGAAGGGTACCCCTCATTTTGACAACCCCCCAAATGTGCCCGAGAAGCGAGATGTTCATGGTGTCCACAGCACCTGAAGCTGGTGTGTCTTAAATCGGACTGCCCTTAGGGGCGCCAGGGATATAAGAGGATAAAAGAGCCATTATGGGTGGGTCTTTGTAGGGATTGCATACCTGGAGCCTGCATTGCAGCGCCATTCTGGGTATCCCAAACGGAACCCTAACCTCAAAGCCATAGCCAACCCAAAGAGGAACTAGGGTATATATATATATATGGTACCCCC